TGGCCCTTTTGAGCCATTACCAGTATCAAGAGCTGATACTGGAGATCTGTGGAGGCGCGATTGCACCCTGCGTGACGGGAGATGTCTCCTGTGTGCACTACAGAGGGTAGATAGTACCAAATACCCTGACCACATTCCCCTTCTCATGAAGTATAGTGCATGACTGCATGGAGGTCGAAGTATCAATGCCAGGCCGCTACAGAACTGCACCGTGTGACCTACCACTGGTGGTACCGTATACACCCATCATACAGGTTGTATACGGTACCTATACAACCTGTATGATGCTTGTGTCCGAGGTACATCACGTATATAACTGGTCGAAAAGCATACTTAGTACAGTCCATGCAAGACTGTCAAGTCTTGCAATTCCCTCCGTCCTATACTAAATACTAATCCTTATAGATTTGTAAAGATTAAGCCACCCTAGAGGTAGCACGGGGATTAATAATATATAAATATATACTACGGGCTATAAGGGATAATCCAATGTTATAATTGCCCTATAAGGGATAATCCAATATTATAATTGCTCTATAAGGGATAATCCAATGTTATAATTGCTCTATAAGGGATAATCCAATGTTATAATTGCCCTATAAGGGATAATCCAATATTATAATTGTGCTATGAGGGATAATTCAATATTATAACTGTACTATAAGGAATAACCCAGTATTATAGTTGTGTTATAAACGATTATCCAATATTATAATTGTGCTATAAGGGATAATCCTCATATCCCTTTCAAGTATTATATAGTCGTAATGGTTCAGTGCTTTCTCCACTGATAATTATACCTTGCCTTCGTCACCTCGTACCCATACCACGCCCCCATCACTACCACGCCCACATTACTACCACGCCCACATTACTACCACGCCCACATTACTACCACGCCCACATTACTACCACGCCCCCATCACTACCACGCCCACATTACTACCACGCCCACATTACTACCACGCCCACATTACTACCACGCCCACATTACTACCACGCCCCCATTACTACCACGCCCACATTACTACCACGCCCACATTACTACCACGCCCACATTACTACCACGCCCACATTACTACCACGCCCACATTACTACCACGCCCACATTACTACCACGCCCACATTACTACCACGCCCACATTACTACCACGCCCACATTACTACCACGCCCCCATTACTACCACGCCCACATCACTACCACGCCCACATTACTACCACGCCCCCATCACTACCACGCCCCCATCACTACCACGCCCTCTCCCATGCCCCTGTTCCACCCCCTTAAAACGCACCAGTAGATTGCGTTTTACTTTCAATTAATCAACCCCCCTTGTTATTTTTATTTCATTTCGTGACCAAAGGGGTTGAGTGAGAAACAAGTGTCGGGAGGAAGTATCGTGGGTGGAGATAGGAGTAAGAGTAATTCTACCAAGTACAGGAAGGAGATGGTGCATGCGATGACTCAGGCTGGCCGGGACGTGACTGACTCCTGTACCACTGAGCGCAGGATACTAGTTGCTTGGTCACGGGAGACATCTCCCGTCACGCAGGGTGCAGTCGCACCTCCACAGATCTCCAGTATCAGCTCTTGATAGTGGTAATGGCTCAAAAGGGCCACCACTTACGGGCTATTCATGCCCGTGCCACCTTTTGGGTGGCTTAATCTTTATCAATCAATCAGTTGCTTGGTACACAAGATGCATCGCGCTCATATTTTGTTTTGTTACCATTTCAGACACAAAATTTGCAGGTTTCGTATATCTATAGTTGGTCAATATTAAAACCGCTATATAATACTATTAACGGTTAAAATCTTCTATTTAACAGGCACATACAAGAATGTAAGAACTCTTGTACAGTTATTAAATGAAGTTCAGTGATGTGATAGACAGTCCGGGCATCATAAAAACAACGCGCGCCAGCGTAAACATACAAATATGTAATTAAGAAACAATGCTGAGAAAGGGGAAAAAGGAGAGAGAGGAAATTTCGATAATTAAAAAACACTTAACAAGGCTGAGCGCGGGTCAGGTCACCAATACAAAGTGAGGTCACTCAAGAATAAGATACCCATGAAACTGTTTACCAAACACAAAGGTGCTAATTGTCTAGTTGTTGTAGTTTAGGGAGAAACGTCGGTAGTGTGAGGGAGAGTGGCACAGTAGTGTGAGGAAGAGTGACACAGTAGTGTGAGGGAGAGTGGCACAGTAGTGTGAGGGAGAGTGGCACAGTAGTGTGAGGAAGAGTGACACAGTAGTGTGAGGGAGAGTGGCACAGTAGTGTGAGGGAGAGTGGCACAGTAGTGTGAGGGAGAGTGGCACAGTAGTGTGAGGGAGAGTGGCACAGTAGTGTGAGGGAGAGTGGCACAGTAGTGTGAGGGAGAGTGGCACAGTAGTGTGAGGGAGAGTGGCACAGTAGTGTGAGGGAGAGTGGCACAGTAGTGTGAGGGAGAGTGGCACAGTAGTGTGAGGGAGAGTGGCACAGTAGTGTGAGGGAG